ATTTATTTCCATTTATTTCCATTTATTTCCATTTGTTTCCATTCATTTCCATTTATTTCCATACTTCCTGCTCTTTCATTACACCTTTCTTTACTTCCTTCATTCAATCAATCAATAAACTTTATTTAAAGAGGGTCACGTATATTAACCCAGTGAGTTATCTAACCTACGACCCTTTTTCCATCCTAGATCTTCTTCCGTGACGTAGATCCTGTCTTTTTTTGCATATACTAGTTATATCTTCAGTTTTCATTTCCTTATTTCCTAATTAATCATTCTGCTCACTCTGTCAATACAAAATTATCTGTCATTCCTGTAAGCTTTTAGTCGCTATTTACATATGTCTCAGTGGTTTGCGGCTCTGATTCTAATTTATCATTTACTCGGCTTGCTCTCCATAAATATTTTCTGTTTCTGGCATGCCGGTAATAATACTGAAAACCAAATTCTTTAGTAAAATATATATATTAGATTATATGTATGCGAATTCTTTTTAGATATATATAGTCATTGCTTCCTAAGAGGCTTGACTGCCGGCCATTTGACAGACAGTTCATCCTGTAGAGATGTCAAACGGAACACATTCGGCTACACATTCTGCTTAGTCATCAGTCTCAAACAGGCTTTTCTTTCGATAAACCTACCCTTAATTTAATCATGTTTTCTTTCCAGATATTTTATTATTCCCCGTATCCAAATCGCTGTTTAATTTTTACGAATTAATAGCGGGTTTGTTTCCTTAAATTTAAGCTTACAACTCAAAATTTTAACATTGGACTTGAGCCAAGCCGTTTCGGCTCAGCAGGGTTTGAAGCATATTTTGTCTGCATAGATATTCAGTTAAAAATGCTTCGATCATTACGACAAACCCAGCAAGAGAGATTTATCTGGTATCAAGTATTTACACTATCAAATAGACCCGTGTACTCTTTTCTTGATCAAAATTAAAGACTTACTCACCAGTTTGCATCGAAGTTGAACATATAAAGTAAAAAGCAAACGCCAAATTCACCATCTGAGCCATCGTGTCATTAGCATATGATAACATGAAAATGGTAATCCTACACGCCTTGGTGTCTATGTATGTGAATGAATAACATTTGATCTTTCGATTGGGTGGAACACGTAGGAAAATTGTTTCAGCAAATAAACGATTGCGATTTTTAAGTGATCGATGTTTTTAATTACTTCCTTTATAGCTGAATCTGGAGTCTGGAGTAGGTGACTGTGTAGAAGGAAGAGGGGGCATGGGGAACGAGGGGGGAGGGGAGAGGGAAGAAGCATGTCATTTTATAATAGCGCAGCGCAGCCATGACGTCATAAAAACTAAGATAAAGGCGAAATTCGGACAAACAAACTTACGAGTTTACTTTCAGCAAATAATTTTCACAACCGATCGCAGTTGATCTTAGTTTACATGGGTTATTATTGTAACTTTAAGTAAAAATAATAAAATCGGTTCGTATAATCCTCGTACCGGTTAAACAGAATGCAATGTTTGTCCGAATCTTTAAGCTATTTTGAGAATAAGCGCGCTATTGATGGTAAAGTATGCAAAAGCTAATCATCACTCATGATTGTAATCTGCACGGCTGCCAATAGCGCCTTAATATGCAGCCCGTAAAGTCCTCCACTGGTCATAAATGTAAATAGCATCGAGACGTCGTATAAATGCGCTATATCAGAACCTCCCATTATTATTATTATCATTATTATCCATCCATCCATCCATCCATCCATCCATCCATCCATCCATCCATCCATCCATCCATCCATCCATCCATTATGCTTGTTCCACTTGGTTTTACTTCAACAGTTTATTAATGTGAATATTATAACACTGAGTAAAAAAGTAATATTTTTAATCGTGAATAATTGATGTACTGTTTTAATTTACTTTAAACTTGAATTCCAAATAAAAATGAAAGGGATTTCTCATTTATTTGATTATTAGAGGCAAATACAAACGCAACTGGATATATAAAAGAACGAGAGTGTCATGGAATACTCCATTCCGATCAGTGACACCACGAATAATAGTTCCAAGTCGAGGCTGTAGCAAAACTATACATTTTAACCTGCGCGGCAACTCCAGCCTCGGCTTGGAACTATCATTTGTGGTCACCCAGCGTAATTGTAAGATGGAGTAATACGGATTGCACCATTTATCTCCCGAAAGTGATGGGAAGTGTTGCCAGTAAAGCAATGATCACAACAACTGCCGTGATTGGAATAAAGGTCTTTAACATGGAGCTGTCCTTGTCAACATCAGCATCTGCAATCATTAAGACACAAGAGAGAATTGAACAAAGATAAAACCCATGGGATATTTAAGGTTTTGTTTATCGTAACCTTTTTCCTATCCCTTACAACGTCTCAGTCTGTTAATTTTTTCTTTCATGGCTATAGCTTGAAAAGTTATATTGATTTGGATTTCATTCCAAGGCTGGATTTCTTTACCTTCTGGTTTTCCATCATCCGTCTGAGATTCCTTCATTTCTTTACCGCCAATGTCGTTAGATTTTGTTGTTGATTGAGGTGTTGTTGTTTGTGTTGTTGTTTGTGTAGTTGTTAAGGTTGTTGGGGAAGCAGTTGGTTGGCCAGTGAATAGTTTACCAATGCAAGTCTTGCCATTGGATGACATGTTCATTCCAGTTGGACATTTGCAGGTATAGGTTGTAGTCACAGAAGACAACAGACACAGATGACTACATCCGCCATTGTTGGGAGCACATGGATTGCTTCCTGCATGGGAAAATAGCAAAGGTATTAATTTTTCAATGTCTCCTCTCCTCTCCTCTCTTTTTTTCTCCTCTCAGATCTCCTCTCTTCTACCCTCTAATTCAACCTCACTGAAAGCCACGCCCATCATTTTGCATAAACATTAATTTACCGTCACGTTGTCTTGAAGGATGCAATATTTTTATATCCATAGGTCTAAACACCTGCTTTTTTATAACCATAGGTTTTTTGCCAGTAAACTTGTTGACTTTAAGTACTCCTCCACCCTTTGCCCAGTCCGTATAATACAGATAATCGCCAAACACTGTAACAGCGAAGAGATGTTGGGATGGAATCCTTGCTACCAATCTCCTGTCCGAGCCATCCAGCGACATAGACTCTATTGTCTTGACTTTTGCGTCCACCCAGAATACTCGATCAATGTTATAGTCAATAGTCAATCCGTTCACCCAGCCAATATTGGTGTTCACGAGGACTTGGCGGGAACCTGCAGCACCGTCCATGCTTGCTCGTTCGATACGTGCGTTGTATCCCCAGTCCGACCAGTAAACGTACCTGGATCGAACAAGAATATTTAAGTATATACTAGAGAGGGAAGGGTTTACTGAGTAGAGAAGAGACTGATGGAAGCTTCGTTTCTCCCTCCTTTGACACAGGAAGACCATGTAAATAATCTACCTGAATACTTACTTTCTCAATGGATCTACAGCAATTGCACGAGGATCGCGCAGTCCATCAGAATACAAGACCATTCTATTACTGCCATCAAGCTCAGCCACTTCGATGAATCTCATCTCTTCACTAGTCCAGTAGATCTTTCGTCCAATCCAATCGACGGCTATACCACTCGCGTGTAGGACGTCATCTACTATCACTTCGACTGGACCTGAAACAAAAAAAAGTTATTAATGCATGTTTGCCAAAAGCGTGCTGCAAGTGACGTCAGTATTTTCTTCAGAATTTTTTGAATACTGTTTTGTTTTTGAGAAGGTAATTTGGGGGAAGGGGGAGGCGAAGGAAGGGAGGAGAGGGGAGGAAGGGATAGAAGGGGGACCATGAACTGACATGTCGTTGATCCTTGGCAACTTCATAACTAGGCACACCTACCCCCCATGAAAGCTTATAATTTGCTCCTGAATGCTCCCCCCTTTCCAAGAAAAACGTCGACTTTACCTGTCCCATTTAGGCTTGTTTTGCAGATTGTATTGAACCTACAGTTCGTCAGAAACAACGTGTCCGTATGGATATCAAAGTCAAGACCTTTAGTATTTACAGAGGGTAGCAATCCGAATTCCTCGAGGAGAGATCCATTAAGAGCGATCTTATAAACGCCGTATATGGATGCGTAAATAAGATGGCCATCTGTGAAGGCAAAAAAAGGAATGTGTTAGGTCACGAACTAGCTTCTAATTTTTGAAACTCGGTCCCAGACCCCCAAATTTGACTCCTAACTTGTAGCAAAATGAGCAAAGTTTCAAAAGAATTCAAATTTTCGTGTTGCTATGGCTTACTATCTCACAATGTAGATTTCAATCGTTTTGTTATTGTGCTATCTGGAAATGCTAAAATATTTGTGGAAATTTAAAAAAAACAATATTGCCGTCATTTTGGCCTTGAAGTAATTGTGAGGTTCATATAAAGGAATGTATGAAGTTCGACCGCGCGGTCATTGCGTTTGCGGAGTAAAATTCAAATTTTGTTCTTTTTCACGTGATAACTAATGTAATAACGAAGTGAAATTGAATTAATTGGTATATGCACTTTAACAGTGTGTCCTCTTATTTTGTCTTTGTGAATAGACCTTTTGCGAATTTGTCAAGTACCACATGTCCTTCATTACAGACTCATAGACTTTTTTCGAAGATTGCACTTCCAGATTCCAAACAGTCTGTGTTTTGTTTATTTTCTTAGCGGAGCTCCCGCGCGGAGTACCATACTTAAGAAAAAAATGGTAAACCATCGAGTTGATTTTTCATGGCTTGGCTGACGTCACTTCCGTCCGTACGTCCGTCCATGTACACAACACAGGGATCATGCTTGATGTCAGGGCGGGACAGAGGGCGGGAGGAGGGAGGGCGTTGAAACGGGCACACATCTACATCTATAGGTCGCTATCAATAGACGTCACTTCCGGTAATAACTGCGTTTTTAATAGTTTGTAGAATCTTGGAGGTTGTTTTGATCTCTTGTTTTCTGGTTTCATGTCGTAGAAATAGTCAAATACGATAGTTTACGCTAGTTGCCCCTCAGTCAACCTCTTGTTTGCCCCCCAGTCAACTCCAAAAAGTCACGTGATTGATAGTAAGCAATTGGCCGATCCGTGATGCGGAGAGTAGGACTGGGCACTACTCTGGCTGTCAACAATGGCGGACTGTTTGTGGAGGACGTTCGGCTGACAAGAAGATCTTTTTAAGGTAAATTTACGCTTGTTTATCTTTGTTTTTAGCCAATAAAACAATTTTATTGGTGTTAGAGAACACCCGAAACATGATAAGAGTTTTCATTACGAAGAATTCGCTCGGTTTTTGTACTCAAAGAACCATTCTAATAAGCGACTGCCTATGGTGTTTACGCTGAATTTTATATAGCAAAGCGGGCGCAGGGCATTTTTGGCTATATTACAATGTTTTCCAAAACCTAGTTTATATTTTTTTGAAATGTTTATATAGTGTTCTACTTATGTGAAAAAAATCAGACTGAGCAAATTTGAGCAAGATTAGTTTTTTGACATCACAAATGTAGACTAGCGGATCGAATCGATAGCGAAGTTGACATACGTTGAACAAAAATGGAACGAAATRATCGGAAATTGTGGCATTTCTCCAGAAAAATATACACACTAATCTTCAGCACATTGTTTTTCACTTTTGGACCGTTAAAGGTAAAACATATAAAAATCCTCAGGTCAATTTGGATCTTGTCTACATGCTATAAACTCCCTAGCGCTTCGCTAGTCTACATTTGAGATGTCAAAAAATTAATCTTGCTCAAATTTGCTCTTGCTCAATTTGCTCGACTTATGATATTTTGTAAAAACGTGTAATACATAAGAGTCATAAGACGGGGTAAACATTTGATGCGCAATTTTCATCGCAGTTTTCTAGTCAATCTTACTAGATCTTTCATTATTCTAAAATTCGCTGATCATTTCTCTCAAAACTACGTTAGGATACAAATAAGAACTTAAACTAATATTACACAAAATTGCRAGACTATTGAACTCWTTTARAGCGRTCTAAAGCGAACGAGAAATACAGAAAACATTGATCGTTTCCCAACGATTTGATGCTCTGGGAATTCTATTGTTTGCTAATGRTCATAACATCAAATTCTTTCGCACCATGCACGGTCTCATCTCGCTTGGCTGCTTTCCGATTTACTCCCGAAGTATGGTAACAAACAGTTGTTTTTTTATTCAAACGTGGGACGTTTGTCACGCTGTACTTGGTCAGTGTGAGTGAATATATATTGCGTGGTGCATTATGTGCCCATTTTTAATATTATATTTTTGCCAAACGATCACTCAATGCGAATGGATGGGAAAACAAGCTTTGCGTTGTTACTATAGCCCAGTTATCTTGTGTGATTATTTAAAAAACGTTTTTCTATCAAATTTTGAGAAGTATATATACGAAACTAGCAATCGTATATTTAATACGAAATAATTTAAATTGATATTTTCAGCAGAAACAATCATGCATGCACGTGGTATATAAAAACATGACTCAATTGATGACTTTTTAAATTGTGTGACTTATCTCGAGCATATTTTACCTATCCAAATTAAAAATCATCGTAGTGATAAGTTTGGCATGAGTGCCAGGTACGGGGAAGGAGTTGTCGCGCCTAACCAGCCCCCTTCGCAGAGGTGACCATGGCAACCAGGCAGCAGTCCACCGCCAATGATCCGAGGGTGCTTGGAGAGGACCATGGGACCCTGTGGCCAGGTTACCAGGGGCACCAACGACACCAAATCATCTCAAGCACCCCCAAAGCATATAGACCACCAGCGACTAACATATTTTATTTGCAACCGGAAAGCTGAGTAGACGACGAGGCTAAGACTTCGACTGAGGTGCGGATGTAATCCTTGTAGTCATTGCTTGACCACCTTCCTAATGTCTGGATTAGATGATCTGGGACGCCATTGCGGGCGGCAACCGCCGCTGCTCCAATCCTAAAACTGTGGCTAGAAAAATTTCCTGGGACTCCAGCCAAGATCAAGATCTCACGAAGCCACTTGGTGAGAACGGCGCGAGTTAACGGCTGACCAGATTGCATTAGTAAAAGAGGACCAGATGCGTCCCCTCGGACAGCCAAGTAATCGAGAAGGGCTTTTACAGCACACAACGGCGGCGAATATTTTCCGATGTACACGCAAAATCCCTTTCGAAATGGATCGGTTTTTGACGCTTTGATATTGAGGCGCAGACAAGAGGGCTTGCTAATTAAATCTACAGCTAATTTCTTCACACTCAAGTGGATGTCTTCTGAGAAACTGTTTAAACTTGGAACCGTAAATTCGGCTGAGCGCAGAAAGCCAAAATACGCCACGCAACAGGCCGCCCAAAACATGATGTGGTCAAAACCGGCAAAATCAAAATGGCCATAAATAGCCGACAAAATGTCGTTAGTGACAGGCAGCCGCGTAGAGGGTCAATCGTTTGATCCCATTCACTACTCTTTCCAGCCTCAGGCAGCCAGCTAGAGGGTCAGGAAAGCCTTATTCCACATGGAAGGCACGTACCGCTGACAAATAAACCTTGATTGATGAATGATGGAGGGAGTTGGACAAGAAGGTAGCAAACAAACACAGCGTCCATTCGTCGGCTGGACAAACAAAACCATTAGCATGCATCCTGCCTGTCTGATAACACAACTGTATAAACTTCTTTTGCCCACTAGCGTGTGACCGACGCGTTGAAGGAGCCAGGCCCGTCAGCATCAGTTCTCTGCATCGCATCTCTAAAGAGGAGCCATAAGGTCCGTCAGTAACTGCCCCGGGATCGGCGTAGGAGATAGGGGACCCACAGAGCCAACTTGCGGAAGTCCTGCCAACGGAAATGAGATAAGGCACCAGCATTTGGGTTTTGAACATAACAAGCCGCAAGCCCGTTTTTTGGCGATAAGCGGAATTGAAATCCGCATACTTGTGGTGGGCGAGGTGTTTGTGCCACAGCAGGGTATCCACCTTAGGCCGAAGCAGTGTCTACTTTAAGATTGTATTAGAATGATTATGTTGCTCTGCTATCCTCTGCCGGTACCTCCATGGTTAACAGCCGATTTTAATGAATTCGATCGCTGTAGATCGTTACTAAATATACTGGATAGCTAATGGAATCTACACGATGCTATTCTGATCATGAAATTGATCTATGTTGTTCGAAATATGCCGTCAAATGGTCAGCGTTTGGTAATGTACAACACGATTCTCGGCTCAAAGCTCACATTTTCGATCTAGCAGAAAATTCCAGGTAGATTATTGTACAGCAATGTTTCAAGAAGAACCTTTACTTAGTGTTTGATGGTATTGATCCAGGAATTTAGAGTATAGTTGATGATATATGATCGTATTCTAGGCCAAACGTCTAATAATATAAAATGGCGCGAAAACTGAACTCTGGCAAAAAATTCGATGTTACGTCCTATTTAGAGATGCTCTTTCTGTCGAATACGTCAAAATTATAGCTATGGAAGATCCTTCACACTCGTGCATGCCAATTTTGAATATATAGCCTTAGCTTTTATGATAAGATGTTCTTTAAATTTGACAATGAATGCTGCATTGTTGCTGCATATGTTCCCGCGCAAATTAATGTTATATTTCTGTAATAAATTTTTAATATAGAGCTAGAAAATGGAACCCTCTCTCCTTGCTTTCTCAGGCGGCTCGCCCGAAAGCAACAGAATTGCTCAGGTGGCTCGCCCGTAATTCTGTGAGAGGCTACATTTTAAATTTATATTCGATCGTAGTCTAGTTTTAATTTTTTTTTTTGTAGTACTTAGAAAATGGAACCCTCTCTCTTTGCTTTCTCAGGCGGCTCGCCCGAAAGCAACGGAATTGCTCAGGTGGCTCGCCCGTAATTCTGTGAGAGGCTACATTTTAAATTTCTAATCTCTAATCGTAGTTATAAAACATTTCATAGTTAGAACAAAATGCGAAGAGGTAAAGAGAATAACAGCACTGCTATTTGATCATATTACGCTGCTWTGTATCGAAGTGTTAATCCAATTGACACGATACTAGAATTTGTGGTAGTAACCATAGTGATACTGGGAACATGCTGGCACAAATATTCACCAAAAAAACGGCCTTGCGGCTTGTTATGCCCTGGGACATGGACCGCTGAAAAAGTGAAGCTTAACTGCGCTGCTGACATCAATAGGCTGCGCAACAAATGCATTTGGCATGAGACTTTTGACGATGTGGAATTGAGGATGGCCACAACGGACTCATTGTCGGAACGAAACACCACGTGTTGTCTACACCAATAACGGCTCCACAGATGAGCTGCAATCGCCACTGTGAAGAGCTCTTTGTAAGCTATCGACTGCGGGCGTTGACGATCGCTCCATATGCCATTGAACCGCTCCCTGTCGAGGAAGGCACCGTAGCCCAACGAACCCACGGCGTTCGATGTCCCCTCGACTGATGCCAGGGGGGTCATGCCCGGGTAAAGCCAGAAGCTTACGACGTTCCATGATTCCAGAAACTGGTTCCACCAAGCAAGGTCCAGATGAAACTCCGCATTGAGACGGATTGGGTGGTCGCGGTCTCTAAAACAACACAGCAAATTGATCATACGGCGGAGAAACGCTCAGTTTAGCTAAACTTGCTAAACTGCAAAACGCTGCAAGCACGCCCCTGAAAGCTGAGGACCACCCCAAGCATATATTGGGAGTAGTGTCAAGCAGTAGGCATAGACTCGGTTTTAACTTCGCCTAAATTACATTCAGGCACATGACACATTCGCAAGTCTATAAAATTCTGATACCCCTTAGAGCCTTCTGTATGAGCCTGGTTGGTATTGCAATGATTTGTGCTGCCCACAAATCATTAACTTATTCAACCCTGCGTAACCCATATCAAGCTTTCTCCCAAATAAAGTTGTCGTTTTCTATATCTATATTTGGTAAGCTTACCTTATCTGGAATTGAATCCAGATTCCTTTTGAGTGATTTTTACGCCATTTAAAGCGGCTTTAAAATTACGAAAATTTGAATCAAAACCTCAATGGATATAAGTTTGACATGCGACTAACTTCGGAATCCAATTCAAGGCTTGGTGGGAGGGGAAGAGGGGGAACGACACTATCGTAAGGGAAGATGGTTGGAGGTATACAAACATACAGGAAATCGCATACAGGACTGAGTTTAATGCGCCGGAACACCACATCCTAAAAAGTATCCCACAGAGGAGTCGATGGTGACTTGATAACCGTTTGGCTCGCAAAGCCAAGGTCAGCCAAATATTCAGAAACGTAAAACGTACCGTATTTTTCAGTAAATAAATAAATCAAGTTTACTATCTCGCTTGTCTGCACAGAAAATGTTTTGCCCTCGATCGATATTTTGTTGGGTTTCCAACGGTGAAAAGGAAAACTACGTGTCCTATTGAAAACAAAAAACAAAAACAAAAACAAAAACTAGATCGGAAACCCTGCCGCAAATTTTTACGTTCTGTTGCAAAATTGTGAGGAAATGGTACTTTTAGAAATGACGTGTGGTCTGAAAATGTAAACATTGCACCATGAGACGAAGAGATCTATTCAATGTGGGCAATGTTGGAAACACACCAACAATAACTTGTATCCTAGGGCTTGGTATCAACTGGAAGAATCTCTTAATGAAAGTATTGGCAATGAATGGTAAGCAATATGCATTATGTAACCAAACTATATGCAACGGATCATAAGTAAAATGTAAAATGACATTTTTTCTGAAGAGCGATAAAAGTCAAGGCGTGTCCATAAACTAACAGATCGAACCCCTGAGACAACCTCTGGCCAGATAAAATTGAAGAAGACGCGGCTAATCCACAGATCAAATTGGATATTAGCTCGATTTTGCAGAGGTATTGCCATGTAAAGCAAATTAATCAAACCCTGAAACAGCTTCTGGGCTAAAAACTTTCAAAAATTATGCGATTCATCTAAAATATTTTGTTCATATGTTGCACTGAGTCCAGGAATAATACCCAAGACGGCCAGAAGTGAAAGACGAGCACAGTACCGTTACACGAACTCAATTTTACACTGTCTCGCTCTTACCTGCTCGTTTGGCTGCAATTGCATTTTCTTGAGTCGTTGGCACAGCTTCTTTAGCATTTCCAGTCCCCTTTTGCGTGGGTTTTACAGATTCTTTGGTCGGTTTGCCAATGTTGTTAGATTTTGTTGTGGATTGAGGTGTTGTTGTTTGTGTTGTTGTTTGTGTAGTTGTTTGTGTTGTTGTTTGCGTTGTTGTTTGTGTAGTTGTTAAGGTTGTTGGGGAAGCAGTTGGTTGGCCAGTAAATGGTTTACCAATACAAGTCTTGCCATTGGATGACATGTTCATTCCGGTGGGACATTTGCAGGTGTAGGTTGTAGTCACAGAAGACAACAGACACAGATGACTACATCCGCCATTGTTGAGAGCACATGGATTGCTTCCTGCATGGGAAAATAGCAGCCAGAAATTCATTGAATTTTGTAATTCACAGTGAACATTATAGTCAAAACATGAAATTCCTGTCTCTTTACAAAAAACAACAGACAAAAGAGACAGTCCCCCAAATTCCTTTTGACAAATTATTGCTTCTGAGCTCGTTTTCTTCCTAACATCCTTTATATCTGTGTATGAGAATATATCATATCTGTACTACGGTACTTGTAATGTATCAAACTGAGCTGATTCTCGCAGTATTTGAAGTAAATTATACAACTGCAAATTGAAAGACTCAGAAAATATTTTGAGATTTGAAGGGGATTTGAACCCGTGCCCTGGCGATTCCGGTACCATGCTTTAGCCACTGAGCTACCATTTATATCTCTAATGATGCAATATGATTTCTTGTATATCAATATCTAGATTTATTGTTACGTTTCCTTCTACTTAATATACCAATTGCAAGACTGCCACATATATATCAGGAGCAAGGGTTGACATAACAAGCAGTAACAACAGTCTGGTCGGATAAAACTGCAATTTAGTGTTGGAAATCTGTAAATTCCCCTTTTCCTCTCTTCCTATWCTCTTTTCCCTCTATTTCCCTCGACACAATGATTTCTAGTTTCCAGTGAACTCACTAACCATTAGGTTGTCTTGTGGGATGAACGGCTTTGATGTCCATATGAGCCCACAGCAGATTTATTACGATTTTCTTCTCCCCGCCAGTAAACTTATTGACTTTACGTATCGACCGGGCCCTCCTCGTCCAGTCCGTATAATACAGGTAATCGCCAAACACTGTAACAGCGAAGGGATGTTGGGATGGAATCCTTGTTACCAGTCTCCTGTCCGAGCCATCCAGCGACATAGACTCTATTGTCTTGACTTTTGCGTCCACCCAGAATACTCGATCAATGTTATAGTCAATAGTCAATCCGTTAACCCAGCCAATATTGGTGTTCACGAGGACTTGGCGGGAACTTGCAGCACCGTCCATGCTTGCTCGTTCGATACGTGCGTTGTAACCCCAGTCCGACCAGTAAACGTACCTGAATCGAACAAGTATATTTAAGTATATACTAGAGAGTTTACTGAGTAGAGAAGAGACTGGTGGAAATTTCGTTTCTCTCTCCTTTGACACAGGAAGACCGTGAATACTTACTTTCTAAATGGATCTACAGCAATGGCACGAGGTTTGTCCAGTCCATCAGAATACAAGACCATTCTATTACTGCCATCAAGTTCAGCCACTTCGATGAAATTCAATGTTCTGTCAGTCCAGTAGATCTTTCGTCCAATCCAATCGACTGTTATAGCGTCTGGAAAGCCGACGTTACTTACGATATCTTCAATTGCTAGTTGAAATAGTTTTTTAAAATTCTCGTTAAACCTCCTCCAGGCTAGGTATTATTCCGGGTTTCAGAAGTAGTATATTTTAAAGTAATTTCATTGCAGCTTAAGAAGTGCATCTTTAAAATCTCCATATATCTTGATAGACCTTTTTATCTATACGGCGGCCATCTTGAATTCTATTGTTTTAATCAAGATATTAATTTAGACGAGGGGGCAACTATTGGAAAATTTATAAAATACACATTTTTTTACGCTTACCCCACCGGCAGCCAATAATTCAAGATGGCCGCCGTCTCATTAAAAAGGGCTTTTTCCACCAAACCACCTACCTGTTCCATCAAAACTTGCTCGGTAGATTTTTTTGACTTTTGTATCCGTCCAAAAAATTTTGCCTGTCTTGAAGTAAAAGTCCAAACCGACAACGCCCTTTCTGTTGGTGATAAGACTGTAAGCTGACGAACCATCAAGAGTCATTTTACGAACACTGGCCACAGATGAATACATGAGAAATGGTTCAGGACCTGAGGAGATTATAACATTATAACTTAGATCAATCAGATATTTGAAAGTTATGAAGGAAATATAAAAACTGCAGATAAAAGTTGAGGTGGAGTGGGACTCAAGAGCTCGAGAAAAACGAAAAACGAAAAAAAAAAACGAAAGAAGGAAGAAAGAAAGGAAGGGAGGAAGGAAGGAAGGAATGAAGGAATGAAGGAAGGAAGGAAGGAAGGAAGGAAGGAAGGAAGGAAGGAGGGAGGGAGGGAGGAATTTCGATAAAAGCTAATGAGTTAAAATTGTCCATGAATAGAGAGATGACATATGGAGGCAGCACCACCACGTGATGGCAGCCATGACCGTACATGAGAAAGAATTCCGTTTTCTGGGGAAAACTACTCCACTGTTGTGAATCCTGTCATGGCTGCCTTCACGTGATGGTGCAAAGCCTCTATCGTTGAGATATTCTCACCTGTGGCTCTACAGGTTCTAAGGTTTGGTTCCAACATATGGCCTGGCTGGCAAACACACTTGTGACTTCCTTTAGTGTTCTCACATAAATGACTACATTTACCATACTCCAAGCACTCGTTGATGTCTGTGAAGAAAGGAAGAAAGAGAGACCATTGGTTGCTGTGAAAGACAAACTCCAGGCTGCGGTGAACACCTTTTGTGCTGCCCATTCATTGAAGTTAAGCAATGAGTCATAAATCCTCCATTTAACAAAAAATAACCTTTCCATGTTCCGTTCAATCAATAAATAAATAAATAAATAACGCAGGAATTGACGTAAGTGCGTGTACTACTATCCAAGCTATAAAATAAAGTGGTTCTTGACACCTTCACCTTTCTATGTTTGTCAACAACAACAAAAACAACAAAAACAACAAAAACACACGCAGGAAGTGACGTATCCGCGCGTACCACTATCTAAGCTATAAAATAAAGTGGTTCTTGACAATACCTTCACATACGCGACCATTGGACTGAAGCCGATAGCCTTCTCTACAGCTGCAGTTGTAACCAATATTAAGGTCATGACAGAAATGATCACAGTGACCGTTACGGTCAAGACATTCGTTGATGTCTGTAAAAAGATTAGATCGTTTTCGAATTAGTCAAGTTGATCACAAACTCATTTACTCAGAGTTAGCCTCATATCAGTGTCTAAATATTCACAAGTACCAACGGTAATGCAAAGAACGCACAACTTCAACCGTAAAGACACTTTAAAGTTTCTATTACCTATACTTATTCATGCAAAAACTACTGTTAGTAAAAAAGATTCAATCACTTACTACACCGCACGGGCTCATCCTCCGCGCTAGGACAGTCATTATTGCCATCACACACCTGGTCTTTTGGAATACAGACCGATGTCAAGCCGCATTCAAACTGGTCTGGCGTACATGGCACTGATGGAGCTGTAAGAACAACCATAATACTGTTGAGTCATGGTCAAAAATGATAATATATATATTTAGGCACTGTCTAAAAGCGGAGTTCCCAATAGCAGAGGGAGCCCAATTTAGATAAAACTAAAAGATGAAAATAAACTCCATCGGGCAAAAAATCTTCAATTTTTTCTCTCCATCGAGATGAAGACAATGTCCCCCATAAAGTAAACCATGAAGTGAAAAAAACGAAATGGAAATGCACTACATCGTTTTCTTCGCACGAGTCTTTGTTTTCGACTTTAGTACTCTCCCACTTAGAAATTTTGCCACACGTACACAACCCACCACCGTCCAACCCAGGGGCTAGTTTTGTTCTTGAAAAATTCTTTGACAAAGTTTTCCATGGCCACCGGACAGTTTTACGCTTTGAATTCCTTGTTAATTTTTTAGTTTATTTTATCAAAAAATAGATAAATAAATAAAGCAGGAGGTGACGTAAATGCGCGTACTACTATCCAAGCTATAAAATAAAGTGGTTCTTGACAATACCTTCACATACGCGACCATTGGACTGAAGCTGATAGCCCTCTCTACAGCTGCAGTTGTAACCAATATTAAGGTCATGACAGAAATGATCACAGTGACCGTTACTGTCAAGACATTCGTTGATATCTGTAAAAAGATTAGATCGTTTTCGAATTAGTCAAGTTTATTACAAACTCATTTACTCAGAGTTAGCCTCATACAATAGAAAACTTCTTAAAAGAAAAGGTGAGCAAAACAGGTCCTTATAAACTGGCGATTTTTGCAGCAGTTTGAAGTGGTCAAGAATGGTAAAGGATTAATATTCTGGGCACCGAGCGGATTATCCAAACGAAGGTCTTTTTAGAGGTATAAGGCAAAATTTATTATATTTTCAATAATCGCAAATTGCCGCAAAAACCGGCCGTGTAAACGGACATTATTAAGAGTGAACGCAAGACAAACGATCATTGAATAAGGTTCAGTTTAGGGGTTCAAATTCAATGAGATACACATAGATAAAATGTAAAGGTAAAGACCTGATTAGAGAGGAATCCAAACAGACATGGAGATCCTGGGGATTGAACCGTGGGCCTCTGTCTCCGAATGTTGTGCACTATAAAACCAAGGGTGAACTATCCCTATTCCTAGATCCAATACTTACGGCAGTTTAATTCATCGCTGCCATCAGAACAGTCATCCTCTCCATCACATCGCCAGTGTCCCAGGATGCATTTTTTGTTCTTACACTTGAACATCCCACTTGCACACGTTTTGGGTGAACCTGGAGGGCAACTAGTTTCGTCATCGCCATCCGGGCAGTCGCGATCACCGTCACATCGCCATGACGACCGGATACATTTGTTAGATAATCCTCGACATGTGTACTCATTGCGGGCACAAGTCTTAGCAGCTAAGGAATTCAATATCAAGAATATTTTGTGTTGTTGGACTTGGTTTAGAAGGATGGGAGGAAGAAGGAAAGGGAGGGAAGGAATGAAAAAGAAATGATAAAGGGAAGGAATGAAGGAAAATGGGAGAGAGAGAGGAAGAGAGGGGAGAAGGTAATTAAGGAATGGACAAATGCGGTAAAGGAAGGAAATAAGTTATGGAGTACATGCCAGCCTTCTAGAGAGGTAAAGAAGGATGTTCACTTACAGCATTGGCTGGGATTCTCATCACTTCCAACAGGACAATCATTATCACCATCACACACCCATCTGGATGAAATACATTGGCCACTACTGCAGGTAAATTGACTCGGTGAACATGTATGCACGTCTACAAAAAAATGAGTTACTGTTATGAACTAACAGAAACATATCTTCTATATTGTGTTCCTATGTGATGTAGATCCTTTTTCAAAAAAAAAAGAAACAAAACAAAAGAAGCTGATAGCCAACTTTAGATATTCTGGTTGAGTAGCCCAGCACAAAATAATCTGAGTCAAGGCTCCACGGAAACAAAAAAATAATTAAGATTACACTATTGTTTCCCCAGAGCCTCGACTCCAAATGTTTTGTGCTCGATCACTCAAGCTTCGTCATCGCCATCCGGGCAGTCGCGATCGCCGTCACATCGCCATGACGACCGGATACATTTCTTAGATAATCCTCGACATGTGTACTCATTAGGGGCACAAGTCTTAGCAGCTAAGGAATCCAATATCAAGAATATTTTGTGCTGTTGGACAGAGCCTCGACTCAAAATGTTTTGTGCTCGATCACTCGATCAGAAAATCGAAAGCTGGCTATTGATGGAAGTGATGTGTGTTATGGAAAATACTGATGCAAGAACAAAGGAGCCATTCAGAGGATGAACAAAGCTTTTTGGGGGTGGGGGGGTACTCCCCTATATTTGCTATACGGGTATG